ATAGAATTATATATATGAAAAAATAGTGTAAGAAGGTATGTCGACTCTCATAAACAATAGGATTCATTTGAAAATATTTTTCAACAAAAAAGAAACGAATCCACTTTCAACAGCTTAATCATGTTTTACTGATCTAAACACATGCTCATTAACTTATATTGGCATCTACTAGCTCTAAATATAAGGATAAATGCAATGCATTTAGGACTAAGTCCTTCACCTACAAGGGAGAGGTAGTAGCCTAAACCTATCCTAAATATATATAATGGGTTAAGATATAATTACATAATATAAAACTTTTTTAGTTTAATACAGATTTGGAATCGTTAGATGGTTGTGATTAACTTATTTTTCTCCAATGAATATCTTTTCATTTCTTACTATTAATCTCAAATATCTATTTTCACTTATCTAATGATCTTAAATCTATATAAAATTAAAAGAGTTTTATATTATATAATACATCTTATCTCATATATAATAATTAAAAATATACATTAATTAACTACAATTTTGAATAGATTAACGGTACAGTAAAGTGGAGACAGAGAGAGACCGAATCCCTTTTATAGTATCACCTATCTTTCTATTTAATAGAGGTAACGACTTTACCCGTCGACCAAATCATGTGATATTGTGAATATTTAACCATTTTCATTCATCAAATTATTTGCGACGTAAACATCTAACTATCCAATCAAATCACTATATAATCAAGAGAAGATTTTTATTTTGTATTTAATTGTAACAAGAAAAACGAATAAATACATTCATTTATATTAATGACTTTACGTAAATACAAATATTATTATTTGAGTTAACAATATCTAAAACAGGTGGCTAAAAAATATTAATTGATATCTCTCTTTTTCTTTAGGTTGTGGGTTCAATACTTATTAGGAGTAAAAAAAAATTACTCCTCTAAATAGAAATTGTTCAAAAAAAGTATTATTATTTGTAAATCCGTTAAATGATTTTAGTCATAAAAATATTATTTTTCTTAAAGGATTCATATTTAAACAGTTGTGTCTACAGAAAATGTATATATTATCTATAAATATAAAAGAATTCTGAATATATACCACATTATAATCATCCGATACTAAAATATTATTATGTATAAAGTATTGGTAGTCAATAAATAGTCACTTTGTTGATACACCTTCGCACATGGCGATTAGGTACCCTCATGTCTATGATAATGTAAAAAAAAAAAAAAAAGATGCAGATCAGTCGCAAACGCCGACCGACGCCGCAACAACGTAGTGCCGTTGTTTGCATGACATGTGGCGTGAGCACCATGCGGCCAGGCACATCACATGCCCGTGCTGCTGGCTGCTAATCTATGCTATTGCGAAAGATAGCATGTTGCTAATAACTACAAACTTGACGAGGAATTAATGTCATTTGGACCTATACTAAACATTTTTCTTTTTCAAATATGCAAGCAAAGGTCATTGTTCTGTGTTGGCATCATGAGCTTGTTTCTCCTCATTTGAGGAATGCAGTCTACAAACGGCATTGCGTTGGTTCATAAGAAACAAAAAGTGGGTTTTCTTTAGGGATGAGTACGAGACTCAAACTCGACGGATTTTGATTCGACTCGATCTGATCGGATTAGTTTTCTTAAAAGAAATTCAGGCTCGGGTTTAGGCTGAAATATCCGACTTGACCTGATTCAAAAAATAATATAATTATACCTTATATATTTAGAGATAATTATAATAATATTCATCTTTATATTATTATTTTTCAATTAAGTTCCTATTTTATTGAATAAAATTAATAATTCTATATTATTTTGGGTCGGGTCGAAGTCGAGTTTTATCTCAAAAGTCGAGTTAAGTTTCGTGTCAGGTGAAATTACCTTAAACTCAAGTTAGGTTAAGCTTCGGATGAAGAGTATAAAATTTCGGATCATATCGAATTGACTGAAAACTCACTCAACCCGATCCACGCGCATCTCTAATTTTGTTTGGGATCCATTAAGGGGTCAACATGACGATTTTGATGAGACATTGAATAAGGATTCATTGGATTTTATGCTCATATATGGACATTTCATGTAAGTATTTCTACTACTTTTCAATGTAATTTAATGAATCATCTTTTTCTCACCAACTTCAAATTTGATTTCTATTTTCGAAAAAGTATTTTACTTCTTCATATGCCACACTTCACTGTTCATCAACGTGATTGAATTGCTTGACTAGCAATGTTGATAACAACATTTTTTTTATAATACTTCAATTTAATTATCTAAGAGCATGTTTCCGACAAATTCAAAACTTTATGAATATAAGCCACGAAAGCTTGGGTTTAGTTTTAAATTACGTTTTAATCTTATCATATATGGATTCCCCCCCTAAAGTGCTGTTTTATTGAACGAACATTTTTCTATACTAATAGCTTCATATAAAAAAGAATTGATTCAGAAAGTTTTAAATCAATGGACAAGGTACGATCAAGGACGGACGCAATATCTTATATTAAGGAGACGAAATTTAAAATCTTAAGAAGAGATAAATTTATAAGATTATATAACAATTTAATACCTATAACACGTGTAACTTAAATGATCATTTAAATTTGTGTCATACTTTATTGTAGTATGATACATTATACATATGTACTCGTAATTATACGTTTTAATCCAATAATATGAAAAATGTAATTTAAAAATGAGTGTGAGTTGAACTCAATGAATTATCTAGACCACTACAAAATACAGTAGTAAGAGTAGTTAAAATCATCATTCATCGTGCCTAAGTGTAAATCATTTCCAAATTGATTATTCATAAACATATCATGCCAAATGTTTCTCATATCAAATATTCATGCTCAAATCACTTTTCAAATGAATATTCATCATGCTCATTCACATAAAATCAACATGAAAATCATTAACGATATATTGGTTTGTAGTACGTATGAGACAAAGTATAAACTTACAATATCATATATTTAGATCTCCTTAGAATAACTTAGTGATAAATGTTTCATATAATTATTTAGTTTTATACATGAGCTTGGTGATTGAGACCTATGCTTTTTTCCTGAATTAGGGTATATACACTCCTACAGTGATTCTAGACACAATTATGAACCGGGGTCAAAACGCCCCCATAGCGGTTCTAATCACATTTTTCCTTACCAATTAGATTAATGGGTTCTTATTCTGACTATGCTCAATCCTATGGGTTCTAATCACATTGGTGCATGATCACTTTTCAAATGTGTGCTAGCGAGCACTTAATTTAGTCTTGATTTGAAGACTTTGATGAGATATATCCAAATTTCTAAAAATTCTGACTTTATCCATATTCCCTTGGGTTATCACTATTCATGAAACTTTCCAATTTGGTCCTTAACGTAACATTTAAAGCGTTGCATTTTATCTTATAATAATTTTGTTTGGCTCGAGGGAATGTAAAGTGGATATTTTGCATGCCCTTTGTGATTGTCACTTTGTGCTAATGATATGGCCTCAGTTCATTCCCAATAGACTTTATATTGATTTCTTTGTGCTACCCTTGGTTCCCTGATTGCAAGCCGACCTTAATAATTCATGGAATATTGATTTTAGGGAGATCAAATGGTCAGATTTCTTCGGATATACTATTTGAAACTTACGAAAACAACATAATAATTTTGTATTTTATGGGGATGGTTGGCTAGCTCATGCAATCATAACATCTTCATTAAGTTTGGCAAAGTAAATTTCTTCATCTCTTCTACTTTAAGTTTCTTCATCTCTTCTACTTTGGATGTACTAAGCTCAAGGGCCACAAAAGTAATCCAATTGATAGTGATCATCCAACAATTTGGTGAAGTTTAATGTTGATGGAGGTTGTCACACAATTACAGAGACTACTATCAGGGATGGATCAAGGGGTGCAGGAGAGTAAATTATTAACTTTGTGGAAAAGAAAAAGAAAGCAATGAAATCTCTGTCTTTGGGCACTAAAGAGGAGATGGAAACTAATATACATGCACCAAAACTGGGACCGAGTCTGAGAATAAAAGCAGACCAAATATTAAATGGTTTCACATCTGCAACCCTGGATCACATGTTTAACATATTCTAATTAGTGGAGCAGAATAATTATAAAAAACCACTCTTGTTTTTTCATGCAGTAATAGTTTCTATAGACTATCAGAAGATGCTGTAAAAATCTTTTGAAATGTCAATTTCCTCAGCCCTTGGATTGAATTTATTCCGTTTTGTCTCAAGATTGGGTTGTCGTGAATACTGATTCACCTCGACTTAGTGCGCACTACCTCTTTTATGATTGGAACCCCTATTTTTAACTTCAAATTGCAGGTCATTTTCCTCCTTCAAAATATAGTGGCCCTTCACTTTACTTTCTTTTCTCTATTACAACTTTTAATCATTTTGTATCGTTTGATATCATTTGTACTCTTCGTGATATATATATATATATATATATGTCTATAATGGATTTTTATCTCTATCATCTATGAAAATAAATAAGACCAAACCATATTGAATCTAATCTCTTGCGCATATCTTATTTTATGTTAATCTTGTTTTTGATTATTTGAAAACTTAAAATATGCAAAATTTAGAAAGAAAAATGTAGATATATAAATAAATGCAAGTGGGAAGTCACTATAATTAATATATGATTTGAGGAAGATTGCAGATAACAAATACAGTCAGGACCCCATCATTGAAAAGCGTAAGTTCTTCAAATTCATGAAGTATCCCTACAACATATTGATATGCTTATGAAACAATTGCTTTTCTTTTGGACCAGATTTGTCCAAATAAATTCACTGTCATTTATCTTGCCTTTTGTTTTTCCTTTATCACATTAACTGGTAACTAAAACACATGATTTGTGTTCCGCCAACAGTCTTTTTAACTTGCATATCAAGAAGCCAACCATATACTTCAGTGCCTGATAATGAAACCTGATTATTTGTTTTGGGGTTTCATTAATTAGTTGAATAAGTTAATAGCTGAATAAAAGCAATGCTTAAAGGATTCTAGATTCAAACCTTTGATTATATAACAAGATACAGAGGTGATATTATTATTATTGCAGCGATTATATGCAGGATTGAGATAAGAAAGGAGAAAACCCGGCTACACAGGTTAGAGTTTCCCTAGGAAATAGTAGTAGTATTACAGTATGAACAAATAAATGAATTTGTAATTAGCCGGTTAAAGATGTTTTCCCGTATTCATAACGAGAAACAAGTTGATTGGTTGTGAAGATCATCTTACTCTCTTCATCATCCATCTTCCACAGTAAGTCCCAACAGTATTCCCACGAGGGAGAAGCCATTGAAGGACATGAAAAATTGCAACCTTGTTCACTGTAGTTATCAGAAAGAGACAGAGGCTTTATTATTGAGTTTTCTTCGGACATATCAATGTCTTTCCATATATCATCCATGGAGTAACCTTTTTCATCTTCCAATCCTTCCATGTGAAGGCCTCCGGTGTCGTAGAAACTTACCTTTCCGGCATCCGAGAAGGGCGAGGAATCAACTGCAGTAACAGTTGACGATGATGAATGACAATTCGATGATGATGACGATGGCGAGATGGCTTGTTTCTTTTCTTGAGCCTTCTTTCTCATATGAGTCCTCCAATAGTTCTTGATTTCGTTGTCGGTGCGACCGGGTAATTTCCGAGCAATTCTTGACCACCTGCATGTCATAACATGTATGCAATCAAAGCAATCTTTGGGATTTTTTAATGGAAACAAGAGTTTCACAAGTGTTTTCAAACCTGTTTCCCCATTTGGCATGAAGCTCGAGGACGAGGCGTTCTTCATGGGGAGTCATCTTCCCCCTTTTGAGACCAGGGTGCAAGTAATTAACCCATCGTAACCTGCAACTTTTCCCGGTTCGGTTCAAACCTACAACAAAATCATGTGGTTAAAGGAAAAAGGGTCCTTCCCAAAACCTGCCAATCTTCCGGATAATCCTACCTATTTCATTGTCTCCCGCCAGACCTTCAAACCTGAAACTTTTGCTATAAAATCCCATCGCCTGTGTCCGAACAAACGAACAAAGTTCAGCAGTAGGACGTCTTCTTGTTCTGTCCACGGACCTTTTCGGACTTCATCATGCACCATTTTCATTCTCTCTTAGATTCTTCCTGGAAAAGGGTATTTAAGTTCAACAAATTCCTGCTAGTTCATGGAGACATAGGCGTACACTAGTCGAATATATATATAGTATTAAGCTACTTGTTGTGAAGAGGCGTTAATTGTCTCGTTGCTGGTGTACACTAATGAAATTATGATATTATTGCAAATAGTTTAGTGGTGTAATGCGCGCATGCCATTTGTGATAGCAACTTTATGCGTCTGATGTCAGCCACTATAACTAAATAATCTAAGTGATAGATTGATCTGTTAATTTAATTCTCAAAACGTTGTTGCTCCAAAGTGAAACTGCTAAATCTGGCTCATTAATAATACCTAGTAATTCTTCTCACAAATTTGGCTGTGGAGATCTACTAGTAATTCCAAAGACAGTACTAAAAGGAGGGTAAGTGAGTAGCTAATATTTGATTGGATAAGGAGGAATAAGGCAATGGAAGTCCCTAGATATCCTCCTTTCCCCATCCATTCAACTTGAGGAAATGATACGAGTGTCCCTTGACTTTATTAAAAGCCATAGATATGCATAAGCTAAGCAAACAAAAGTACAAAACTTGAAAAGCAAGAAAGCAAAAGGAAGGCACTGTTTAGATGTCATAAAAAGTAATTTTCTTCTTCTTTAATGAAAATGGAGTAAGATATTATTCTTGAAAAACCTATTGTTAAATGCCAAGTAAATCAACATTTCAACTTGATTCTGTAGACACTAACTTTCGTCCATACACATATATATTATACAGTTTGCAAATTGTTTTTGAAAATACATATATAGTTTAAAACATTTTTGAAAATATGTATATTATATAGTTTTTAAAATATTTTTAAAAATTATATAATATATAGTTTTTGAAAACGTTTTTAAAATATATATAATATATACTTTTGAAAACGTTATGAAAACATTTATATAATATATAATTTTTAAAAACCATTTTGAAAATATATTTTGAAAATTATATAATATATAGTTTTTGAAAACGTTTTAAAATATATAATATATACTTTTGAAACGTTATGAAAACATTTATATAATATATAATTTTAAAAACCATTTTGAAAATACATATAATATATAGTTTTTTTTTTAAAAAAAAAAAACATTTTAAAATTTATATATTATATGTTTTTGAAAATGTTTATATATATATATTATTATTATTTATTTTTATTTTTAATTTATTTATTTCTCATTTATTTTTGTGCAGGGTCCATGTCCAATAACAGTCCAAGTCTGGTCCAAACACTGGGCCTGAACCAGCCCAGCAGCAAGATGGAGATCAACGGTCAAGGTTGCAGTTGTCTAGGGTTTCATTTAACCCTCAACAGCGCCGCAAAATCAGGAGGTCAAGAGCCATGCGAAACGGCCGGACGTTGGCCGAGGATCCCGGGACTGAACCATCCCGGGATTTCAGCAGTAACGTTCATGACCCCGTTATCATCGGAGTAGACCACCGGTGGGGTGGGTATAAATACCCCACCACGGTGACCGACACAGGGGGCCATAGCCACAGTAAAACCGAGCGAAACCAGAACCCACAGCAAGCAGATAATCATCGGCCAACAAATCAAACCGCAAAACTACATCCACAGTAAGCCAACACAGAAACCATCAATAAACACAAAAACGATACAGCCAACAAATCGAAGCCAACACAACCACAAAACAAAAAAACAAAAAAAAACAAAGCAGAATACAGATACATCAACAGAAACGAAAAGGCCGAAGCCCTTCTTATCAAGAACAACACAAGAGAAGAAAGGGGCCATCGAAACCCGAAGCGTCACCGACGGAAAAGGTAAAAAAAAAACAAAGTTTGTTCCCTAGATCTACGCCGGTGGGGGCATTATTTAGGTGTTTGGGCTTCGGTTTTGGGTTGGAGAGGTTGAGAGGAAGCTTTGGGGGGTATTTTCGTTTTCTCGGCCACCGCCGGCGGTGGCCGGCAATGGCGGCGGTGACGGTCGGCCTGGGGCCGGCCATCCTCTCCGATGAGGATGTAGAGAGAATTCAGAGAACCAAAGGTTCTCTCTGTTTAGAGAGAGAAAGCTATTGTTGAGAATGAAGAGAGTTAGGCCATTTGGCCTTGGTATCATGTATTTATGCAGGATCCAAAACGGCGCCGTTTCACCTAGGGGTCTTCTGTGTATTTTTTTTTTTCTTCATGGGTAAACTCGGTCCTCGGCCATCAGGTTTTTTCATACTTGTAATTTGGTCACTAAATTTTATTTTTCAGTATTTTAATTTGGAATTTTAATTTGTTATGCTTATATTTTAGTCCCCAAGTTATATATTTCCGAATCTGGCCCAAGGTTTTATGCAAATTTTATTTTGGTCACTGATTAATATCATTTTTTATATTATTTTTAACCTTTTTTTATTTATTCAATTTCGTTTCTTTTTTTTTTTTTATTATTCTATTGTTTTGTTATTTATTTATTTAATGTTTAATTATTATTTTATCATCTAACATTTTTCGACATTTTTAGTGGTAACTTCAACTGATCAAAGGTAAGTAATTTGAATCGAGTTTTTAAAATTTCAATTTAAATTTTTAATTTTTGCCATTAAAGACAACCGATAAATTAATTGGTACCGAAAGGGCGGTTCAAGGGTGCTAATCCTTCCTTGACCGTAACCGACTCCCGAACCCGACACGTTTCTGGTACAACGCAGATCAGGTAAGATGGTGTCCGATCTACCTAAATTCGTTTTAAAATGGTCGGTGGCGACTCCAATTCGTTTAATCCAAGTCGAAGCCCAATTCCGGGGCCCAAACCGAAAGACGGTTCCGACAGCTTGGCGGCTCTGCTGGGGACAGGTAAGTGAGTCAGGCCAGAATTAATTTTCGGTTGTCTTTTTATGCGAAAATTGTAAATTTAAATTTAAATTTATTTATTCGATTCCAGTTATTTACCTTTGATTATTTTTGAAATAAATAGTTGTACTAACATTTTTTTCAATGATTTCAGATTTTTGAAAAGTTTCCATCTCTGGCTCTATACTCGAGCTCCGAACCCTTTTAAGTGGGGGTGAAAGCGACGCCTTCGTGTGAATTTATTCACCGTGCGGGCCTAGCAAGTAGCCTTCGGGATTCATATACCTTATGCCTTCGTGTGAATTTATTCTCCGTATGGGCATAAGGGAATGTGTCCTCTCGAGTTTAACTTAGTCCACACAAGCTTGTAATGAGCTTAGGACTAAGGGTCTGGCAAGCCCAAGGGGGCACCGGCAAGGAGAACTCGAGTACCGTTTTTAGAACCTAAACCGGGAGAGTACAGGGAACTAGAGCCCACCCCAAAACCTCATTCCAAACCCTAGGCTGTTTTATTTCCTGCTTTATTTTCTGTTCAAAGCATGCGAACTAGACAAACATGCGGCTAGGATTTGTTTGAAATTAGCATGCGGGATAGAAATCATGTCTGTGTAGGAATGTTAAGCATGTTCGGGTAGATTATCATGTGGGGTAAGACTTTTTCATCATTTTTATTATTATCATCATTATCTCACTAACTTTTTTTTCTCTTCCTCCTTTCATTTTTATTCTTTGGCATTTTTTTATCATTCGCATCATTAAAACGAGGTATTGATCCACAAAAAATGTGTTTGTTAAACATGAATAATCTGCATTAATGGACAAAGGGATTATAATACAAAGAGATAAAAAGCTCAGAAGCCCAGCCGTGGTCAAAGAATACTCGGAGGCAAAGGGTGCAGGGGCAAGACGAGGAAAAGGTCACTGACCCGGTCGCTCCTTTCGAAAACTACAAGAACAAGATGGTGAAACACTAGCTGAGCTGGATGCCATTACTGACGAATTCAAGAAGCAAGCTTCGGATAGTTTCTCCCGATGGAGGGCTCCAATGACACTTTCGTTAGAAACAAGCTCGGTAGAAAGTGAAAGTCAGAGATGCAGTCCTTCGAGATCTTTTTTGGGGCAAGCATCTCATTATTTGCACATTTTAGCCAAAGGAGCCGGAATGGTTCGACAGGATATTCAACTAGTGAAAAAGACGAATCAACTTGTCAGAAGCTGTACAGGATTCGTACCATCAAAAAGAGTTTTTTGTCTCTTCAGACATAACACTTTTGTCACCAATAAGGGTTATTCAGAATAACATGCACATTTTTGGATCAATGCCTCGGACATTTCATGCATCACATATTTAGACATTTTGCATTTCTTATTTTCTGTGCATTTTGTTATTTTCTTTGCATTCACATTAACTAATATATACATGTCTCATCAAAAGGAGTAAATACTGGATACACCGCCTCAAGTATTGGACACACCCCATCCACATAACACTCATTTGAAGAAGAAGAGGATGGAAGCCAGAATTACACAAATCGAGGAGAATATGTTAAAACTACAAAAGGAGCTAGAAGACAAAATAAACCAGAACAGTCGAAATACTCTGGAAACAATCACAAAGAACCAAGAGTCCTTGGTTGATCAGATCGTTGCCAAGTTAGTTGGCCTACAACAGACCAGTGCGCCCGGGGCAGGTTCACCGGAAGGGGTAACTATACAACCTACCCCGCAAGTGGTTATCTCACCTGAAATCCTACCAGAACTTCGAGGGGACTCATCTGCTGCAAAAGCAAAGCCCTCGTCCTCTGTATTCAACCCTAAGAACAATCCGGGTTATTACCATGTACCGGATTTGGACGAAGAGGTAAAAGCGAGGAAGATGGAGGAAAAAATCAAACAATTGGAGGACCAAATGAATATAGTCAAAGGAGACCGTGACTACCATGAAATCGATGCAGCGGAACTTAGTCTAGTCCCGGACTTGGTTCTTCCCCCGAAATTTAAGACCCCGGAGTTCGAGAAGTTTGACGGGAATAGTTGCCCATCCACTCACATCACCATGTTCTGCCGAAAGATGACAGGATATGGAGGAAACGACCAACTTCTGATCCACTGCTTTCAGGATAGTCTGTCGGGCTCAGCCATTCGGTGGTACAACCAGCTAAGCCGATCAAATATCAAGACCTGGAAGGACCTGGCCAAGTCATTTCTGGAACAATACAAGCATAACAATGACATAAGGCCAGATCGAGTTAT